TCCTCCCGCAGCATTCAGGAAACCATGGAGAAGCTGGCATTGGCTGCACAGGTGAGTACGCTCCAGTAGCGGCATTAGGGGATCCAGTCTGAGTGATGACCAAATGAAGCTTCATTACCTATTTGCTCCACTAGATGGTGCTCTCCGTCTCCTTTGCTCCATGCTTTGAGCCCTTTTTCTGAACAGAGAGCACCATTTAATGGGGCAGAAAATACGGCGAATTGCTCAGGAAACTTAATTTGGGCATAATTAGGGGGATGACTTTTCGCAATCACTGTGAGGCTCTCTGTGACAACTTCGCGCGTAATAACTGATCAATAATTAGTTGAGTCAAACAGAACCTGCACGTCGGGCCTAGATGGGTCAGAAAACAGAAACATCTCTTAAGCTCTAAGACCAAAGCTCTCAAATACCTGTTGCATAACTGCGAGTTCCAGCATAACACTATGATCATTTCCCAGCAATTTGTGCACCTCCTGAAATATATTATAGAGAGTCTCGAATAAGCCTTTCTGAATAGCGTTTCTAACCACTGACGTGGTGCTTTGATGGCATTGGTGTTTGCAAGCCTTTCTGCTTACCCAACATGAAACCAATGCAGTTATATGCAGTTGTATGCAGTTAGTCACACAGTGCCCGCCCAGCTGACTCCGCATGAACCTGTCTCCAGAAATCAGAGAAGATCAGATCCCCCACGGCCACGCAGCAGAGCCCGTACTCATCAGACGAGGTGTCGAGGAAGCGTGAGATCTTTGAGAAGGAGCAACAGGAGAGGGCAGAGCCAGATAGGGGCACCCAGGTAAACCGGGATGATGTATGCTAACATTTTACAACAATGATGATTGCTAGCATTTTTGGGTTTTGAAACGCACTGTATAAATTTAAGGTAGTACAATTATTTTTATGTCGCACAACAACGTTTGTCTTGATAGCATCAGGCATAGCGCTACTGAAGTTCTCATCTGATGTGGACAACAGTGCCCTCTAGTGTCAATAAATACAGAATAAGTGGCTGAAAGATGGATGAATGGTCGCAGTAGTACATTCATTCCTCTAGGTGTCAGTGCTGTATTTATTATTCTAGTTGTAGAGAATGTAGACCATGAGGAGTGCAAAAGAGTTCAAGGGTCAGACAAACTACAAACAGCAACATTACAAGCTGTGCATTAAACACCTTGATTTATACCTGCCTAGAACAGAAGGTTTGGTTTAAAACTGAAGGATTAGAAGGTGTTTAAATGTAACATTCCATTATCCCACCAAGTAATAACAAAGTGGAACCAGGTGGGCTTATTTATGCTCCCACTACAGTCATGAACCAGGGCCGCAGTGTTGACTTTGATGTTATATTTCTAGGGCTAGCTGCCGAAAACGATTAGTGGCTACGATGCTAAATGATGTCATCTTCCAAGAACAGCAACAAATAATGTTCATTAACCAGATGCTAAATTTAATGAGGCCGTTCCTGTGCCGGTGCCTGAAATGAGAAAGCATGTTTTTGATTTATAGATGACCGGTTAGCTACACAGATACAGGGTCGCCAACTCTCACGCATCTCTCGTGACGCTCACACTTTGTGACTCTCACACTCACGCCATAAATCTTACAGCAAGCCTGTATTATTCCATTATAAACCTAAAATTAAGTACATCAAAAGCATTGGGGTAGTTTGCAAACCCTACAGACTATTTACAGGTAATAAATCTGTTGCATGCATTTAAATGAATATTCAAGATTCAAGATTCTGTATTTGTCACATGTAGTTATAGCTGGTACAACATACAGTGAAATGTGTTTCCCTGGCTGAAAAAAGTACTCTCCGACTGTGCTAGACATACCAAAAAATGAGAGGTAAGCTCCATGCAGACTTGTCTCGAATTAAAAATCTCACACCAGCCAGCTGACCAAAGCTGATAAACCGGGAGATGACGGTATTGGATTGCAAGCATCCTCTTTTGAGATTGTCGCCCATGTGTCACACTGGGAAAATCCCCACCAGAACGAAGACAAATGAAAGAATGTGTGTGCAGATCCTACAAAGTGTACACACCTCAGCTATGGTCTGACTCAGCATGTAACGGAGCATGAAGACAGTGCGTTTGAAGCGGATCCCCGACCGCGCCAGCGGCATGTACAGTACATGAATCAATTCTGGAAAAGTCATGGGCGGTATATGGAAAATCCTGTCCTTGCTAGCACGCTGATGTTATTCAGCTGGATTGTATGGGAAAAGGTGTCATTTCTCAGCCTTACCTGTCACTGAATCATCTGTTTACTTTGGTAGTAAGACACAGCCTATTGTTTGGGAAATTGTCCTGGAACAAAATGACAGCAGATATCCATCTGTATCAAACGGTATCGTAACACTGTCTCTTCTGTCAGGGAACTTGATTAATCTTATTCGTAAAATGCTCCACAGCCAATTTCAGCACTCAGACGTTGCCCCGGCCGTGATGAATGATCGATCACGTTCGCGTGTTTAGGCTGTAGTTTGTTCTCCCCAAGGTCACAGCCACGCAGAAGGTCATCCGGATCGGCACCTTGATCAGCTTGCCCCATCGTGCCATTTTCAGTGACCTGTTGGGGGACAAAATTGCCCGGACTGCCAGATAATTTTCATTTTGGCCCCGCTGAACAGTCTGGCCCCTCCCAGTCTAAGACCAGCTCTGTTACAAGGACTAATGACTCTGCACTAATAATTCCAAAAACTCCAAAAAATAAAATCTGTTTATTACTGCACATCCTGCTCTTCCAGTTCCATTGGGAATCTGCACAATCTTTCTACTTCAGTTAGTTGGCTATTTCTTATGTCTGTGTCTTATTGTATTATATTTATATGTCTCAACATTCATATTATATTCGTTACTTTTCATTCTGACAAACAGGATCGATATTTCCTCTTAGTGTCTGACCCATGGGTCATGTAGCTGAAGATGACAGTATAGCTGCTTTGACCTTTGACCTGACGTTGGTTTCCGCAGCACCGGTTTAACGTGACAGTGGCCAGCAAGCGGCAGCTCTGGCAGAGGAGGGAGGAGGAGGCGCAGAACGGCAAGGCTCAGGATCCAAGACGCCCGCAGGTGTGCCCACCGCACCCTCCACTCAGACCCTTTGCGGGTTAAAGTTCCACATGCTCAAGCTGCTTTGCAAACCGGCAGAACTATGGAGAAGTTGTGGGTAACCCCCCCCCCCCCCTCCCCGGAATTTTTCAGGGGTGCTGGATGGGCGGCTGACCCTGTACTCCGACCCCCAGCTTCACTCTCACCTCTTATATGTGCGTGTATGACTTTAAAAAGCAGAGCATGATGGGATGTGTGAAAACTATCAGGTTCCAATGTATCTGTTTTCTGCCTGTACAAATGGCAAATAGCACTTTATTCATAAGGGGGGGGGGGGTTCTGAGGTTAAAAAAAGGTTAGGAAACCCCATTATAGTTAACAATGTCATGTCAAACCGTGAGAGACCTTCCTTTGTGCCCTTCCCTGAATCATAGATCTCTATCAGCAGTTTGCATTCTGGGTAAGAACAGACTTAAAATATAAAAATTAATTGTTAAAAATGAAAGTGAACAGTGTCAGAAGCCATCACAGGCGCTCTGCTTGCAGGGACCTGAGACAGTGTTTAAAAACAGACGTTGCATAAGGGCAGCTGTGTGACTCACGGCTGGGTAATGTGAACCTGAGAAGGGTGTGGTGCGGGCTGGGCGTGTTTCGGTCACGTCTCGCCATCTTCACGGCGGTGGGGGTCCTTGATGTTGCTGCCATACCTGTCCTGGGTGTGCAGAAATCCCAGTGTTTGTGCTGAAATCCCAGTGTTTGTGCTGAAATCCGTGTGTTTTTTCCTGTTACAGTCCTGAGGAGACAATAATGAAACCAGATGCCACGCTTGGGACGACGAGACGTCTGACTTTTATTCTGTGTTATTTTTCTTATATCTGTATCAGGATAATATTAATAATTAACCTGTGAAATCTTGCAGCAATTGATGAAATTTTTGAATTAGCTAGTTGGATGATATAATTTACAGGGATATTTTGACCAGTCGCCATTCCTCCAATATAAATACATGCTAACAGATTCAAAGATTCTTCACAATGGGCGAGAACTAATAAAATATTTTTTCTGTATATGTTTTGGCTTCAGTTCCAGTGTCTGGTGAACATTACTTCGGTATCATTGCATGTGGAAAAGTGAATTGGTGCTGCATTCTGTTTTTATGTAATTGTCTGGCATTTAATAGGTTATATGGGCCTGCAGTTGAAATACTTCTTGGTTCCTGCGTGCAGCAGCGATTTTAGCCACCATCCGAACCACGTGTTTGTGTAAGACCCCCAATCACTACACTAAATATTAAGTGAACATGGAGATGCTGAAGCAGCATGTTCTGCTAACCAGCTAGCTAGCTGTGGTCTTCCAATACATCTCCCCCTGCTGGCATGGTCATGAGGGTGAGCATGTAAGTGAGGTGATCAAAGATCAGAGGAGAGTGATAAAGGTACTGATAGATGTCCTGTGCTGTGTCAGTACTGCCCCACTCTGGCGAGGGGGCAATCAACGACTCACTGGAGTCTAGGACAAAGAGGTACTGATAGATGTCCTGTGCTGTGTCAGTACTGCCCCACTCTGGCGAGGGGGCAATCAACGACTCACTGGAGTCTAGGACAAAGAGGTACTGATAGATGTCCTGTGCTGTGTCAGTACTGCCCCACTCTGGCGAGGGGGCAATCGGCGACTCACTGGAGTCTAGGACAAAGAGGTACTGATAGATGTCCTGTGCTGTGTCAGTACTGCCCCGTACTTGCAGATAATATCCCCTGACCCCTGTGGTCCCGCCCCCTTTTTTCAAACTGAAGGGCCTTTTTTGGGAACAGATATACAAGGCTACACAATCAAACTGCTGGGGTTAAAAATAAACACAAAAGAAGCACTCTGCCCCCCCCCCAATCTCTGCACTGTTGTCATGGCTGGTTCGGCTCTCCCTGCCCGGTGCGATCAAGGCGGTCACGTGACCTCTGGCCAATTTAAAGGCTTCGAGGGGAAGACGGACTCCACACACTGGTTCCACTGGTTTTTCGTGACGTGACCCCTTCACCCACACAGGTAGGACCGAGTACTCAAGTGCTCATTTTAAATAAGGAGGAAAAAGTTGAAACTACTTGGGAGGAAAACCTCAATTTGACTAGGAAATTACCGTAATAATGCTTAGTACTACAGCGCAAAACCTAACTGGGAATCACATTATCATAAACCACATCTGGACACGAATGGATTTATAAAGCACACTGTTAATATTTGTAATTAGTTTTTTAATGAATTTGGAGCTGCTACAGGATGAGCATTGTGAAAACGGGACACTTGGCAAAACGGGACATATTATGGGATATATTAACTTTGCAGTTAATATATGTGTTTGGTAATAGTTTATTTTGTCTTCTATATACTGTAGGGTTCAATATATAGCATTAATGTATTTAGAATGGTATCAAGTTGAGATTCAAGACATGGAGATGATTTTTCCATCAAAGCAATTTTTCAGAAAGTGTCCCATTTTAACAATATTCACCCTATTACAGTAAACAGTCCGTTACCAGTTATTAGCCTTATCAATATTATAACCGATTTGGTAGAAAATAACTATAGGCTAAATTATCATATATTTAATGTAAATAATCGCATTCATATTACTGAATAAATAATAAATTCATGATAATGGTTACTTGACGGTAGAGACTAACATATCAAACGCAGAAACAATGCATCAGAAAAGTTATTACTGCCAAACTCATCCAAAACCCGTTTTTTGTCTCGCAAATTTCAGGGACCGGAACTTAAACATGTCCGATAACGAGGAAGTGGAAGAATACGAGTAAGTGTTTGTCCTCAGGACCAAATAACCTACTGAATATCTACTCAGTGATCAAAAGAGTGCATGAGCCAGATTTCATTAGCAATAATGACATCTTATATAACGGCAAGTTCAGGAAAATACATTTTACTTGTTTATTCCGTTTATTTCAGTACAAATGCACATCTTAAATGCTTTATTGTTTTATTCATTATTGTTCTCTTTTCAGGGAACAGGGTGGTAAGTAATGAAATCACTGTTATATGCGTATATATAATACAATTTAAAAATCATTTATAACAAAACACTGCACTTATTTACACTCTGTACATATACTTGCTTATATAAATATGCTTCTGGTTTTCTAGTAGAAACAGAACGAACATGAATTGTTCATTGTTCATATAGCAGTTAATACAAGGAAAAATCCATCTGATTAATGCTGCATAGAGGCAGACGAGTCCGCTTTGCATTAAGCCGCTTGCAGCATTATTATGGGCAAACTGTGTATTTGGTGTGACTAACAGGTTTGAGAAATATAAATATTAAACGCTGTCTGCTTTAATGAGGTACGTGCCGCAAACTGTAACACTGATCGCGCTTTCTGTACGCGACTGCAGCTATGAGCATGAACAAGGGAAATCCGCGCCATTGCCTTTTATCGCAGATTATGCAAAATACCGGCAGTGGAAGTTCGCTGTTAATGTGGGATAATTACACATGCAAATCACCGAGCAGTCCGTCAACAGAGTGGACCCACCCTGCCTCACCTCCTATTCATTGTTGCCAATTCTCACCCATCTGGCATGACACTCCCGCAAGAAATCTTAAGGCAAATCTATATTATTCCATTACAAACCTACAGTTAGCCACATCAAAAGCATTGGGGTAGTTTGCAAACCCTGCAGACAAGGTAATAAAACTGTTGCATACATATAAATGCATGTGCATGTGTGTGCAGACTTGTCTCGAATTGAAAATCCACTCCAGCCAGCTGACCAAAGTTGGCAAGCCCACATACCAGTCTACACTGCTCCCGTCTGTGGTTTTTGTACTGCGCCAATTTGTGCAGCAGTTTGCATCCAGCATAAAGTCACCATGACTTGTAGATGTGGGGATGCAGGTACCCTGCCTTCCTCTAGCGGGAAGGCAGGCCGCTCCGACTGCCACTGCTTCGCCTACCCCCCCCCCCCCCACCACCACAGGCACCACCCACGATGATACGGCTTAACATTGTCTGAGGCAAAGGCATGCAGAAAATGCCTGAACAGACCTACCACTATTTCTGTCTCCAATTAAAATGAGCCCTGGAGCGTTTGGGCCGCGTTTAACCCAACCTGTTCTTTCACATGAAAACACTGAAAAAATATTTTTCTTAGTTAAGAGCGGTTAAACTGTTTTGGCAGGCTTTAAATGCTAACCTAAGTACCATGAACGTGAATAAGAGATGCCATGTATAGTCTGTAATGTAGTGTCATTCTGGAGTAAAAGTATCACCATACGCAGTGTACTGGTGATTGGAAGGTCATGGGTTTAAATCCCCTGGCTGACAGAGTGATGTCACCACTGGGGCCCTTGAGAAAGACCCTTAATCCCAACAGGTTCTGGCTGATGGTTCTCTGATTCTCACTTGTTGACTCCCATGTTGCTGCGTATTTCCTGGAAGGGGTGATAATCGTTAATCACTTTGGACAAAAGTTGGTTGCTAAATAAATTTCTAATCAAGCCTGTTTTTTAAAATGGATTAATACTGCCTGTTTCTCAGGAGTTCTTGTATCCATTAACTGTATCCTTGAGTATAATTCTCCTGACTGCATTGCTTTTAAAAGTTCAAAAGAAATTGTCTGTTCATAGCACAGGGCATCCTGTAACAGATGTTCAGTCTGGGTGTACTCCATCATCAGCCCATTAAACTGGCCCACACGTGTCTCCATCGGGTGGGTCAGCCAGTCGGGTTCCTCTCCATCGTACGACTTTCCTTCATGGGTGACACGCTGCTTGGAGAGGCCTTTGGCACTTAGAGCCTGGCTGGTAGAGTACACATGGATGGAAGTCTGTATTAACTCCCAGGGGGTCTATAGATGCTAATCCTCAGGGGTTCTTTGCTAATCCTCAAGGGGGTCTATACTATTCTTCAAGGAGGTCTATGGTAATTCTCAGGGAGTCTATAGTAATCCTCAGGGGGTATGTGGTAATCTTCATGGGGTCTATGGTAATACTCATGGGGGTTTATAGTACATTTGATGATACATTTCAGACTCCAAGCATGAATCGCTGAATCCACAAATGGTGTGACATCATCATTAATAACCGATTGCCTAACCAGTACTAACGAGAGGTGTTCTGTTTTGGGTAACCTGTCGGCCATGTTGCCTGGAATTGCTTTGCGGGCTGCTATGCTCCCTAACCGCGGGCGCTGTGCAGAAGAGGCAGACGAGGTTGTGCAAGAGGAGGAGGAGGAGGAAGAAGAAGCTCCGGAGGGTGAAGGTAGATCGTTTGCTGCATGCCTGCGTCACTATAGCAGCATGAAGGGTGAATTCTGAAGGCAAGGATGGATTTTTCTGCAAGGGGAGCCCCAGTGATTTGACACTGCTTCACACTAACTGCACAGGCAGACATCGGTTTAGAGGCGTGGACACTGTTTATCCGCGCTGTCGCTTTCTCTCACTCTCTCCCTTTATCGGTCTCTGTCTATGTTTGGCAAACACACACGGACACACACACGGACACACACACGGACACGCACGTTTGGAATGAGACTCGGCTGCGATAGCGGCTGTGAGTCACCCCCGTATCTGAAGTGCTGCCCGTATATCACTTCCCCGCACAGCTGGCAGCCGGGCAGCCCGGGACTTGTCATCGCCTCTAACTGTGTTGCTGCCAGGCGCAGCGCTGCCTAATCGCCATCATTACGCTTTTCAGATTGCACACACTTCCCAGCACCGGAATGAAAAAGCCCCCGAGCCAGAGGATAGCTAATATTATCCGCCAGTGAAGGAGACAGCTGTGGTTAACGCACTGCATATGACATTTTTCATTTTCCACACGTTTTGTGGCAGCATTTCACAAAGGATTGTGTAACCGACCACGTAGCCCAGTCACAGCCACCTGGCTAACATCTTCTGGCCATTCAGTGTGTGTGCATGCTTTCTGATGTCACTTTCACGATGCTCCTGGCCCAGATGCTGAAGGAGATGCTGACGATGGAGCACACGGAGAAGGTGAGCCCACAGTCATCTCCCCCCGAGACACTAGCCCAGTCTAACATTAGCTTCAAGACCAGCAAAGACACCACACTTGATGTTATTATTCACAAGAAGTGAAAAGGATTTCACTGCCAGAGTGACTTCTGGGTGAACTTGCCTTTTATTTTTATAGTTCTGTTCCGGTTCTTTTTGTTGTTTGACATTTGGAACAGTAATTTCAATGGTGGACTCATATCCCATTTGTTTCCCAAGATCCTCAGACTATTATCCTTGCTATTGGCAGTGATGGCTTGGGGCCCCTGAGGGTTGGGGGCCCCCTGTTGGCCGCAAACAGTCACTACAGAAATATTAAATAAACACGTTCCTTATTTAGGAGATGCTGATGTAGCATGTTCTGCTAACCAGCCAGCTAGCTATCATCTCCTAACTGTACTCACTGGATATTTATCTAGTTTCTGGATCATCTTGGGGGGGGGGCTTTTTAAGTGTTTGCTTCTGGGATGAACAGGCTTTGGGGTGGGTGGGCGTAGTCACAGATGCTGAGTGTACTTCGCGGGGTGAACAATATGCCCTTGCGTATAAAGATTCCTCAAATGCCAGGCCTTTTTTGGTCAACGTGGCAATGTTGCAGGGTCCTCCTTGTACTATCAGCTTTCTATTTTGGGTTCACGCTCGATAAGTGTTGGGCATCACTGCACATGGCAGACTTTCAGGCAACACTGTCCGTTTGGTTCCAGGCGCTGGGGAAGAAGCAGAAGATGGAGGAGGTGATGAAGGCTTATCACAAAGATCTCCTATGTAACCCCGAGACTGTCTGAACTTTGAGGAAGCTGTAATATTTACACTTTCGGGCAGTGATTCCAGATCTGGTCCCCAGAGACCAACAGACTCCCCACTTTTGCTCCCTCCCAGCTCGGTTGGGAGGGAAATCATGGACCGACTGGGTCCCAGAGGACCGGATGGGGAAGCTTTAAGATAAATTTACAGAAGTATCCTGATTTTACACACAAATAAACAAATTGTATTAGTGAGAACATTACCAGTGAGGAGTGTGAGGATTTGAATCTCTTGATGAAAGCTGATATATTAAACTTCTTCCTGTTTTCTTTTCATTGGTGCAACAGAGGAGACGAAACCCAAGCCAAAGTAAGTCACCTGGCTGGTTAGCGAGACCCGTGTCCGGTGTGCAGCGATGCTAATGGCCTTCTGCTGTCTTTCAGGCCGTTCATGTTGCCTAACCTGGTACCTCCGAAGATCCCAGATGGAGAGAAAGTTGACTTTGATGTGAGTGAAAATGAAACAAGCACCATTAAAAAGACCCGGAAACCCAGAATCTTACATTCATATCAACGCATAATATTTTAATGTAATTGGTTTAGAAAGTCCTTGCTTTTCAAATAGAATCTAGAATGTAATAGGAGGCATATTGATTCTAAAACAAAAATAAAGTTGTTTTATTGTTCTCATTGAGTATAACCATCTAACCAGCTGTATTTCAAATATATACAGATGAATAGAAATATGACAGTATACAAAGGGAAGATGATATAGATATAACAAGGAAATACGTGTTATGTTTTGTTATGTTATGTTATGTTATGTTATGTTATGTAATGTTATGTTATGTTATCTTATCTTATCTTATCTTATCTTATCTTATATTATCGTATCTTATCTTTAGCATTCATTTTGATTGTCTGCTTGTTGAACTCGTCCACTCGTCCCAACAGGACATCCACCGCAAGCGGATGGAGAAGGACCTGAACGAGCTGCAGACCCTGATCGAGGTTCACTTTGAGAGCCGCAAGAAGGAGGAGGAGGAGCTGATCAGCCTGAAGGATAGGATCGTAAGTGGCTCTGCCCTTTGGATCTGCTCCCATCCCTCTCCCCACTGAATAAAGTCCTTCCTGACTGATGTGTCCCTGTAGGACAGTATCTGGTATTTCCTGTTAGGAACAGGAAGTGGAATGGTGAATGATCAGCTTTGGCTGGGGGAGTTGTCGTGCGTTTGAGTTTTCAAACCAGTAGGTGCTGAGAAGGAGATCAGATCTCTGTGAAAGATCAAAAAGTCACAAAAAGTCACCAAGGGTAAAAGTCAACAAATTCCAGGATTAAGCTAATTGTTTGCAGTGAAGTTGAACTTCTGTAGTCCATTTTGCTGTCGGCAGGAAACACGCAGGTCTGAGCGAGCTGAGCAGCATAGGATCCGCAGCGAGAGGGAGAAGGAGCGGCAGAAACGCCTAGAGGTGGGTCTCCTTCGCTAATGATCGTCCTCGAGGGGTGCATCTATTCACAGAGCTTCCCATGGTGGGGAAAAAAACGAATTCCTCTTAAATTCACTAACGGTGTGAAATCTGAATGAGCCTTCCAGTCAAGTCACGTGGGCTTTATTGTCCATTTGACTTGACTTGATTTGACTTCAAGGATTGTCCAGTTTTCGTACAATGTTCCAAACCCCAGTGTGAAGAGTAGATGGATCATACCTGTGGTCACGTTTCAGGAGGAGAAGGCCAGGAAAGAGGAGGAGGAGGCCAAAAAGAAGGCCGAGGATGATGCGAAAAAGAAGAAGACTTTGACAAGCCTACATTTTGGCGGCTACATGCAGAAGGTCGAGTCATCTTCAGGGATAGACGTGCCGACAAGCGGCGTGTGACTGGGCTGACCGAGATCTCTGACCACACAGACGGACAGGCGGAGCGGCAAGAAGCAGACCGAGCGGGAGAAGAAGAAGAAGATCCTCAGCGACAGACGCAAGGCGCTCAGCGTTGACCACATGGGTGAAGATAAGCTCCGGTGTGTTTGTTCTCCTTTCATAGTTAATTGGGGGGGGGGGCGTCCCCAAGGGACAGGATAATCTCATCACATGCAAAGGCTGAATTTATTCACCAACACAGTGGGACTTACACAGACAGCTGTGCCATCACTTATTCCCATCATACATTGCTCTTGATTTCTCCACAGGGAGAAGGCCAACGAACTGTTCAAGTGGATATACCAGTTGGAGGCTGAGAAGTTCGAGTTGCAGTACAAGTTTGCGCGGCAGAAATACGAAGTAAGCGGCATATCCATCCACCTGTTTACAGAAACCACTCATGCTTTGTGGAGATATGCGTCCATTCCTGAACTAGAGGAGAGAAATGCACTCCAGATGGGTCTCTGGATCATGTGACAACACCAAGCCGCCTTTGCTGTTGTCACCTTAGGGTTTGTGAATCTTTTTTGACAACTTCAGCTTTTCAAACATGGTTGTCCAAAAGTCAACATCCTTGCTTGGTCGGTTTCCTTATCAATGCCAAGTCAGCTCAACAACAAAGAACCCTTAATTCCAGAAAAAAACATTCCAAAAAAATGAAGAAAAAAAAACTGCCCATCCCTTCTCTGAAGTGTTCGGTGGTAACACTCTGCTGATGTGTTTTGGGGGCTTAAAGAGAAAATAAAAAGCACAGATAAATAATCAGAGCTCTGTGATCGTCGCCGTCTTACATTTATTCATTTTATTCTTTTTAGATCAATGTCCTCAGGAACCGTGTGAGTGACCACCAGAAGACGTGAGTGACATCACAACGACATTCTCACATGTAGCAAACCAGCCAAGCTCCTGCTAGATTTCACAAATGCGACATAGAATGTAACAGTGACACTTCATTCATCCTCATGGGGAAATTCTCTTTTCACCGACCTCATCTTGCTCTCTATGAGACACACAGACACACATGCAGGTGAGGTCAAGCTTGGGGGTCACAGCACAGGGTCAGCAAGCATGCAGCACCCCTGCAGTTGGGGGGTGGGGGCCTTGTTCAAGGGCCCAATGGCGGCATCAGTCTACTGGCCCTGGGATTCAAACTAGCGACCATCCAATCACAGGCACACTCTGCCCCCCACAGCCTCCTGTGAGGGTCCCAGGATGAGCAATGCCAGAGGAATGTTGATATTGGGTATTTTCCATTTCCTTAAACCAAATATACTATACAAATGCTGTTTTATTACCAGTCACACCCACTTTGCATATAAGTGATTCAGTCATGAGGAATTGAAAGCATATAAACAGTGAGCCCTATAGCAGGAACCTCAAGGACTGTGGTACAGGCACTGGGTCCGACATTCCAGTACCAGTGCTTTGGGTCTTCGGAGTGGTGTGGAAGGACAGTGTGTTCACGATTGGGGGACAATGAGGGACAAAGTTATGCGTCTGTGAAAAAGTTTAATGCAGAGGTGTCGGATGTCTGAACGGTGGAAAAGGACAGGGTGACACTTTGCCCATGTGGGGGGGGGGGGGGTATGGGCAGATTCACTTATCTGGGGGCCCCAGGCTGACATGACCATGGACACTCTTGTGGTGCTGAATTGACTCACTGTTCCATTTTTCCCAAGGCCGGGTGAGGCCCTGGTGTTTGCCGGAGCCCTGGGCTATAGCCTAGGATAGCGATGATCCTCCCCTGGGGGCAGTCTCTGAAATACATTTTGACTGTTGGTAAACCTGTAGAGGAACATTCAAGTTCAAACGTAGCCTTAAAATAAAAACAAAAAGATTCCACGTCCCACTACCTGGAAAAATGTCTCACCCTGTGTGATCTTTCATGAACTTTCCCCTCCCGCTGATCTGCAAGCTGCTACTTTTCACCCCCAGCTGTCGAATGACCTTCAGACGGGGGTGGGGTAAATAAGACCCCTCCAGGACGGTGGACACAAAGGCGCGAGTTAAATAGAGGTCTCTCTAAGGGGCATCTTCAGGCTTCGAGTACCGGCGGAGTGATGGACGCGGCAGCTGCACCGGAGAGCCACGGGGTCGTTAGCAATATCGCTATACGCGGCGCCAAGGCTTGGCCAAATCCAGAATGTTCTTCGACACTTTAAGGCTTCCCTAGACTTTCTATCTGCATCCTGCCTGGTTTTAATCGTGAGCTGTTTTTTGATGCCACTGTTTCATCGTACATGCCCTGGCGTGTGATGTGCCAGTGTTACACAACCTTTGATTACTCCAGCAGGACTGGCACCCATGTTTGGCAGGACTGGGTGTGGGCAGAGGCGTTGCCTCTCTGTGGGAGAGCTGCATGGGAAGCTCTAAAAAATCCACGATAGCTTCATGGTTGCATATAACTAGCAAGTAGGGTCAAAAGATCGTAGCTCGCTAGCTTGTTAGCAGTGTTTATTTAATGTTTGGTGTAGTGACTCTTTGTGGCCAACAGGGGCCCCCACGCAAATGCGAGGTTCGAATGGTGGTGAAAACACTGTGGCGGCTAATCAGCTAATGGTCCACATGTGGTCCCGGAGTGGGGGGGGCGATGCATTCTTTCAGTGACATGTTGCAATTCTGGATCGGAAAACAATTGAGGGGGGTGGAGGGGGGTCATCGCCCCTCTCCAGGAATGGCGCCTTCAGCCGATGACGGCTAGAATGTCAGGGGGTCATGGCTCCCGTCAGCGGTGGCGGCCGGCATTCTCTGCGTGTGAATCAGAGCCGCGGTAGGTGGGCAGACGTCGCTGCAGCGTGGTCGGCCATCGCCAGCGGATGCTAAGAGGAGCTGGCGTGTGGCATAAGGAAGCCAGACGCGGCATACAGTCCATGGCGTCACAGAGCAGGACATGCGAGAGGGTGGCATTAAAGCCACTCTTATAATCCCACAGCTTTGTATAATTACAGCGTTACTTTATACCATAAATTAGTCAATTATCCATCTATTACCAATGATAAAGATCAGCAAAGACAGCAGTAGTTAGACAGCAATTTTAGACCGTTTAATAATGATTATAATTATCACCTTGTACCGTTTTGGGTTCAGGAACCCGCTCAGATACTCTCGGCCTGGCAGGCTTCTCCCGTTCATGAGCATGAGGTTATGCCTGGCAGAAGGTCTTGCTGGGTCCCGCACGTGGCCCGGACTCGGCTCAGCCGCTAACGCGCTGCCATTTTCCCTTTTTCTTGTTCCCCTGCCTTCAGCTCCAAAAGAACTAAGAGAGGACTGAGGAAGTAGAATCGAGGGGGTGCAGAGACGCCGAAGGAGGATGAGGACACTTCCAACGCCCCCCCCCCCCCAGCTCCCCCATGTACAGGATGTTGTGTTTTCACTCCAGAAACATCTTCCTGGAAAATAAAATCCCCAAAGTGGCCGAACATGTACGAGCAAATCACAATCACAATCTCTGTTTAGGCCTACAGCAATAGCGTCTTATTCTGTTATACTGCTCAACAGTAATTTCCGGATGATGTAAAAAGTTACGACAGATAAACAGCGTGTTCCCTGCTTCTAAATACCCATCAGCTTTTACTGCTGAACATTGTCATCAGCCGTTAGAACATCTAAAGCTACTCAAGCAGTAGAACGCCATGGGGCTGAACGTGGTGGAGGTAGAGAACATCAGACTGGCTGAAATTTTAAATGAAGCTTTATTTGCCATTGGTACAATTACAAGTACACAGGAATGTGTTTTTTTTTCACATATCCCATCATGCTCTCCTTTTTAAAGACACAGACACACATAGAGGTGAGACTGAAGCTTGGGGTCTGACTGTAGGGTCAGCCGTCCATCCAGCCCCCCTGGGGCATTTTTCAGGGGGTTAAGAGGCCAACAAGGATGTAGCTACTCTGCCAAGCTTGGGATTCAAACCAGCAACCTTCCAATTCCAGCCAGAGAGGTGAATGGGTCACCAACCCCATATGACTGTTGCCTTTATGGGGAGTGGACATCCGCATGTGGTTAAAACGTAACCAGAAACTGGGAGCCTGCGGTTTGCGGTCGTTGTGTTCCGCGGCAGCTGCTGAGGTCTCCTGAAACACAAAGTCCGCTATCATGCCAAACTTCTACATTTCCTCCCATACCGCAGTTTAAAACTCAGTCTCAGTTTAGTCTGGGTGAACTGCAAGAGCTAAACGCAGACAGAGCAGATAGCAAGAGTGCAGCACCGTGATTGGGCAGGTGTTCAGGAGTCCCGCCCTCCTGTGAAGCACACTGGGTGTTTCCCGAAGCTAAGACCATGGTACTTATGTAGGGGGGAAACTTGATGAGACACGATTAGACTTGAATCGTCCTCAGTGGGACACACCCAGACATTCACTGGGCATGAACAAATATCCCACATCGCTTACCGTGTAAAAACATACCCTTTCTTAAGTGTCTCCTCAACAAAGCACCAAATATGTTGCCACTAGATTCTTTTTTCTTTGGCTTAAAATAGAAGTCAAGTTAACAATTAAAGGTTACGAAAGTCAGCACTCTTAACTCAAGAAAATAAGGAGGAAAAAATACTTAGTTTGCGCCAAGAAAACACCCTACAAAGAAGATGTGGGATTGTGCAGGGCTGGTGTAACCAGGGAACGTACAGCTACCATGCTAGGGAGCTAATGACCAACATATGTGACAGCCAGGATTAATCATTGGGAACATCCAGGAGCAGGTTTTGCCCTGCCCACATGTTTGAAAAGTGAAAAAAATAGTGAGTAGAGTCAGAAGATGGTAGTTAGCTATCTGGTTAGCAGAACATGCTGCTACAGCATTTCCTAAATATGGAAAGTGTTTATTTGATTTTTAGGGTAGTAACTGTTTGTGGCCAGCAGGGGTCCCACCCAAAAGCATGCTTTGCGTGGTGGTGAACGGAACCACTGGGGACACACCTGTATGGTCGAGATCTGTGGAACTGGATTAGGGTTATAAGATACATTATAAAGCCATAGAAAAAGCGTACAGCAGACAGAGTATGTCAGTATTCCTCTAACAGGTATATTGTGGTATTTGAGACAAATTGCACGGTGTGACAAATGTTGTGAGCCCACAGGAAATGCTGGGCTGTCCTTCGAGAGAGAGCTTTCGATGGCTGAAAGGGTTAAAGAAAAAAAAAAAACATAGCACACTCTCAGCCATCACCACTGTGCACATATCAGACGTCCATGAAAGGCACCGCATGATAAACAGGGTCACAGGAAGTTAGCAGTCAAACTAATATCTACCTGTCCCCCATTTTGCTGTGTATGGAACTAGTTACCGGTCACTGAAAAAGACTATTTTTCATGTAAGATAATTAATACAGTATCATTATTATAGATTGCGAATCCCTAGTCACATTCCAATAGAAGGTGGCGACATGTTGAAAACCGGGAATCAAACACCCCTGTCGACCCATGAGCTCTGCAGGATGATTCTGCCATGACCCAGTGAACTTCACAGAGAGGAGTGTCATCTGGGGGGGGGGGGGTTACTCCTAATTCAGCGGCACTTTCTATTTAAAGTCTGTCATTTGTAGCCTCTGGAATGCCTTTAATGACCAGGGGGACATGTTCAGCATGTCTCCCATTGTATGTTTAGAGTGAACGTGGTAATCACAGTGTAAATGATAGGTGTTAGACTAATTATGAGTGGGGTAAAATGGAGGTACAGAGTGCAGCAAAGTCACCGTCCGTCTGCAAAACTGGGGGGTTCAAATCCTGGAGTTTTTGCATACCCCTACATTAGTTGGAAAATGGAGGGATAAAAATTTACCTCTGTTTTACTGTAAATAATCCATCCATCCATCCATAACCTACCCATTTATCCGGGTCATGGTTGCTCGACCTAATAATACCTTAAAAACAACGAACATGCGTGTCATTGTGTGGTGAGCTTACATTTTTCACCAGGCAGATATGGGGTGGTGATTGATACGACTGTTCAGCAGGAAACTCAGAGGCAGGAGTGAAATTTTAAACCTGTTCTTAGAGAGAAGTACGGTGCTGCTCTGTCAGATTGAAATAGCAAAATAGCAAAGCAGGGAACATAAAATGCATGACACAACATGCTGTGCGGGACTATCCAAGCACGCCTCAGCAGGGAGCATATGGTCTCGGAGAGTTCAAAGCGAGTTAAAAGGTCTCTTGAGTTAGCACCTTAATTCAGTACCTTAAGAACCCCCATTACCTTCCACTGACGGACATGCAGCTAAGCTAAGAATATTCTGGAATAATAAAAAAACATTGCCAAGGCTCAATAATAGCCTCTGGGTTATTTATACTATTAAACAAACGTCACACAAATTCTCACTTCATATCTGTCTTTATTTATTGCCGTAAAAGGTTTTTTAACAACCGTCCCAAAGCTTTGGTTATTTCTTTTTTTAGCTAGAACAGCAAAACCTGTCAAAGTGAATTCAGATTTATTATCAAAAGCAACATCCACAAAATAATTCATGAAAGCACAAAGACGATATCGAACAAATTCCATCTATGACGACCCTGTAAAGTTAGACACTAATGTACAGTATCCCCTACATGCATTTGACTGCAATGTTCTGTCTGTCCCGCATTTACCAATCCCTGGGGTATAAGGCTGTGTACAGATGCCATCTTTCCAAAAACACCAGGCCCAATCCAAAGTATTCGAGCTTATTAAGTCAAAGGAAAATGTCAGAAAGATCTGCAACACTCTTAACTATATACATTTAAATGTATATATTCGTCACTCAAAAACAGACACAGATTTGGGAGACTAGTCAGAGTGTCGGGGTAACAGCAGTGCAAAGTTTTCCTATTATTAGCAGTGACATTTCCATTTACATAGATTTTGCTCATCTTGAAGATGCAAACTGAAAATTCATCGCAAAGACAGTTTGGTGCCACGTCACAATATGCTGCCCTTTGCCACTTATAAATGGTAGTCACTCAATAATAGGAAGAAAACTGTGGTATAACTTGTTTATAATTGTCTATCGATGATTTACAAAGTGTTACAACCTAATTAATAACCTGCTTATAAACCATTCATAATGCCTTTATAAGGGTAGCCTTATTGTAGAGTGGCACCGAAAGTGTACTAGCTTCTGGAAATCATTCTCTGTGCAGAAGCACGAGTCATGGATCTTAATCTCGCTGAATGATAAATGGTGCATCTTATTCGCATGACATCCATTAATGAAAACACTCCCTCTTCACAGCTTCACTTTGTCAACTTACAGAGTATTAAAATTTGAGCAAAACTTTAATGGAAATACAGCCAGTGAAACCGCAGGGCAGATACTCCCAATCAGAGGTGGACAGTTCAGGTCCAGAAAGTACAAATCCAGACCAAGATTTTGTTTCAACCAACCAGTTGAGTACTCTGTGACTGTGACTCTTTATACTCAACTGGTTGGTTGAAACAAACACCTTGGTCTGGATTTGTACTTTCTGAACCTGAATTTTCCACCACTGTTCCTATGGCATCTGACTCACTGCAAACTTCAAAGCATAGTCCATAACC